TCAATGATAAGAAGACTGAATATCAATTGATTATAATTAAATTAAGATAGAAATATCAAGAGAGAAGACGATAGCAAAGGTTGGTTCTCGCTAGAAAGATGTGTACTCGCGGCAGCATATATAAAACAGCACCAGTTCTGTTCCGCTAGGAGGACCGATGTTACTAGGTGTCGAAAGAGATTCAGCTCTCTACCTAAACTAAATGCATAATAGTGCCGGATGCCCATGTCATGTCATGTCATTGCGAATATGCATGAGAGCATCACAGCTTACACCTCAGTAGCGGAATTTGTTCTCCTTTTATTGGTTCTTTTTGTTTTAATTTCATAACACCTATCGTACTAATGCTTGATCTTGGAGATAACGTACTCGCATTGCTAAATATTTTCGGTTATATATTTTCTTTGTATCCTATAAACAACTATAATTATTCAATTTAATCATATTTATAATTAATTTAGAACACATAGGCCTGCCTGAATTATATTAAACCTTTAGCTCATGCAGTTCGTAAACTATTAAGTATACTCAAAGTTACTCAAGAATAAGAAAGTCTTAAATCTTCATTTACTATCCAAAAACGCCATAGCATACAGGGTATTCTAAAAGAAAAAATGCATTTACCAAAAAAGTATTTACTTCTTAACCCTCTATAAAATAAGGGAATGTTCCCCATTTAAAGTTTACAATAAGAAGTATAGTTAACAAGATCCCAACGGTGGTAAAGTTAAAAAACACCTTCTGTATCCAATAGTCAATGAAAACAACCTGAATTTAATCTCATACGATGTTTAGTATTTATTTTTATTATTTTACCAAATTAAAACCCATTACGAGACGAAGAAATAGAATTGATTTTTTTGTGAACTGTTGCTGATTTTACCATGGATTAAATCACACTCTGTTAAATTTATTCGCGGTAAAATGGGAGGTAATACTTAGTCGATATCAGTGCAATTAAGTGTAAGTTAACACGAAACACACATTGAAACAGGATTTTACTTCAAAATTAGAAGCCTACCATCAAACTCAATGATAAGAACATAGGCTTACAATTAGACACTTAGAGGCAGAGGGGGAATAACCTTTTGTAATTAAAGTTAGCTTTTCTTTCTTCCACTCAGTGCTCCCGCTAGTCTGTTGTGACGTTATTCGTAGCAGGTTGACGCCGGAGCACCTTGTCATCGCATACCTTTGGAACTGGAATTGTAAAATATGTTGACCATCCAGAACCATCTTATGTTTAAAATACTTCATTACTGTTAATAGTTAACTAGATGACCCGTGCTGCTCCGCAGCATTGAAATTAATAATAAAAAAATAAAATACTAAACTTAATAAGGGCGGTACAACTTTAATTAAACTCTTATAGGGCTGCTGGATTAATTTCGCCTTATGAAAAAATTAAAGTATAACACATTCCATATAACACAGAGAAAATCGTCCCGATGTATTTTTTTCCGTTTTGAAAATAAATTAATCCAGAACAATATCCACACACTTCCTAAAAGCACCTACAGAGAAAGCACGTACATTTGTTAACTTATATGTAACACAGCGTGAATGAGGCTTTATTAAGAATGTTTTATTAACAACAATATTTCTTGTAAAATAGACATCTCTGTCGGTAGAATTGCATGTACGCATATTCTCAGGAGTAGTTCCCTCCATCTGGTAATCTTTATTAATATTACGACTTTTATAATACTTCCTTCCAAACAATGTTTGCTGTTCGTCCACCTTTTGATTTAGTTTCTACTTTTACAGTATCGAAAGATTTCCCTCTCGATAAGGCGACGTACAACTGACCGTGACTAAATACTGGTTCAGGCACCACACCAACTCGATCAATCGTTTGGCCCTGCGCCTTGTTGATGGTCATGCAGAACGCAACCTTTATGGGGAATTGTCTTCGTTTGAAAGAAAATGGTACTGTATGATCTGATGGAGAGAGATCAATGCGGGGTAATAGTGCACGTTGTCCAATATTTGTGCCAGTTATGATTTCTAAGTCCAAACTGTTTTCATACATTTTCTTGACAATAAGTCTTGTTCCGTTTAGAAGACCTGCTGTGTAGTTTAAAATTCTTAATAACATCACAATGGCACCTTCCTTTAAGACTAATTTGTGAGAAGGCAAACCAGTCATCTCAAGGCTGTTGAGGAATTCAATAGGGAATTGCAATAGTTCACTGTCATCATCTGTAATTAGTTTATTCACACTTATATATGTTTTGCTTGAGCCTGGGATGAGGTCTAAAACTCTTTTATTGATTTCCTCACAATGCTCATTCTTTGGTGCTAAAATGGCACATTTTGATAAGTACGATGAGTCCATAGGCGTTTGTAGGTTTTTTCCATAAATTTCTAAAACTATGTCTGAATCAGAGATAAGTGGTGGGGGTAAGTCCACAGATTTGTCATCAATTGTTGGGTATTCCCCATTGCCAATTTCGAGCAAAAAGTTAGCAAAATCTAACTCATTAGTTTTAGCCCTCATATTTTTTGTTAATTTAAAAATTTTGAATAGTGGCCATAGGTATGAAAACAATTGAATTCTGAACAGTAGAGGCTCTAGATGAATGAGGCACAACCGGCAACACTTGCCGGAAAACCTAAGATAATGATTTTCCCACCAAATGGCACATCGTTATCCATTATATCTTTCAGTAGCCGGTTGACACACATTAGAGCATATTTGTTGGCCATAGGTGCTTCATCCCAAATTATTAATTTTGCAGAACGAATGATAGAAGCCTCTTTACTGTTGACTTTTAAGCCGGAGACAGAATGTTCATTCAAATTCAGTGGTAATTTAAATCGGCGGTCGGGTAGAAGAGCCAAACGAACTCGGCAAAGAAACCCCAAATTTAACTCCCATAAGAAATACATGGGGAACAAATTTCGTTTACGTATAATCCGCGTGGGATTATAGATACATTTATGCCGATGCTTGATGGCAAATCTGTGCGTGCATAACTTCAATTTGAGACCTCAATCATGAAAATCGGTCGGGTAGAAGAGCCAATCGAACTCGGCAAAGATAAACCAAATTTAACTCCCATAAGAAATACATGGGGAACAAATTTCGTTTACGTATAATCCGCGTGGGATTATAGATACATTTATGCCGATGCTTGATGGCAAATCTGTGCGTGCATAACTTCAATTTGAGACCTCAATCATGAAAATCGGTCGGGTAGAAGAGCCAATCGAACTCGGCAAAGATAAACCAAATTTAACTCCCATAAGAATAACATGGGGAGCAAATTTCTTTTACTTATAAGCCGAGTAGGATTATAGATAAATATATCCCGATGCTTGATGGCAAATCTGTGCGTGCATACCTTCAATTTGAGACCTCAATCATGAAAATCGGTCGGGTAGAAGAGCCAATCGAACTCGGCAAAGATAAACCAAATTTAACACCCATAAGAATAACATGGGGAGCAAATTTCTTTTACGTATAAGCCGAGAAGGATTATAGATAACTATATTCCGAAGCTTGATGGCAAATCTGTGCGTGCATACCTTCAATTTGAAACCTCAATCATGAAAATCGGTCGGGTAGAAGAGCCAATCGAACTCGGCAAAGATAAACCAAATTTAACTCCCATAAGAATAACATGGGGAGCAAATTTCTTTTACGTAGAAATCGCGTGGAATTATATATAACTATATTCCGATGCTTGATGGCAAATCTGTGCGTGCATACCTTCAATTTGAGACCTCAATCATGAAAATCGGTCGGGTAGAAGAGCCAATCGAACTCGGCAAAGATAAACCAAATTTTACTCCCATAAGAATAACATGGGGAGCAAATTTCTTTTACGTATAAGCCGAGTAGGATTATAGATAAATATATGCCGATGCTTGATGGCAAATCTGAGCGTGCATACCTTCAATTTGAGACCTCAATCATGAAAATCGGTCGGGTAGAAGAGCCAAACGAACTCGGAAAAGAAAAACCAAATTTTTTAAATATATAAGATGGACTATTTACAAGTAAATATAATCGAAAAATTTGTGAAAATATCATACAAACGTGTGATTTTCACTTTAATTTATGCAAAAATTTCCGGAGGGGGGGGGGGGTACCACGGACACCCCTTTTTGATGGGTATTCCAGACTAAATCCGTAAGTCCGTAATGGGTAAGTCCGGCTCCACTGTCGCCCAGTGGAAATCCCTTAAAATATGCTCTGAATGAGAGAGTGTAGCTGGGAATTCAAGTCATTATGTTTGGGAATCAATGTTCCTACAGCAAGTAAAAAGGATAACCATTTCTCCATTTGGCTTAGCAAATATTATTCCTCTCAACGATGGATTGAGCAATTTAAAGATCAAGATATTTTAGGCTTAAAATCTACTACAGTAAAAACCTCATTAGTCGACAATTTGTGGACCCAGAGGTTGTCGAGTTTGGGGGTTGTCAAGTTATCCAGAAAATTAAAATTTGTTATGGGTTTTTGTTTTATACTTTTTAAACATTTTTAACTAATTTTTTTTTAAGGAGGTTTTACAAAGGGGAAACATGTTGATATTTGGTTTTGGGGGCAGTCTGAAGATTTGAGATTCTTCTCAATTTGATAGGGCCAGAAACTAGTCTATAAGATATTAATTACAGACCAAACTGTAACTACTAAGAACTTACAGACATGAACTCTTTGCTCATTAGTAACGGTGTCATGATGCATCTTAATGTACCAACTTGTGTCTCCAAGTGTTCTTGGCCCCATTTAAAAGCCATGGTTTAACTGGAAGCTTTGCAAAGGCCAAGCAAGAACTACTGTGCTTTCACCATCCACATAGCGAGGGGGAACCATTCTTTTATATGTCCGTCCAAATACCGACAAAGACCGTATCTTGTTCAGGGATGTTTGGAAACACACAAGTGCATGGTTTGTCGTGTAGTTCAAGTGCGTTGTTCGACTAGCTTATGTTTAGCGCACAGCTGTACATTCGGTGAGGAGAAGTTATTGTGTTGTGGCATACAATAAGCTATAATGGCTGTCTACTAACCCTCTGCTGTGAGAGAGGTTGCTGATCAGCTGTCTCCAGTGTTGTGGGCAGGTCCAGCAGTCGCTGTATCTGTATGCCGTCCCCAGGCCCCATGTGGCTGATATGGTTGAAGTTGGTAGGGGCTGAGATCATCTTGGACCTCCTGTCTGGCGCCCGTGTAGTCCGATGACCTTCTCTGATAGAGAACCTGCGTCTGGGTCGTGGCACTGCCTTGCCTGTCGGGTCACACACCGTCACATTGATCAGCTCACCTGCAAACAATCACAATTGAATTCAAAATAACTTTTTCCTACAGTCAACCGACAAAGTTGGCTTCCTTGTACTGTTTATAGTACAGAAAGCTGCTAATTGCTGCATATTTATACTTTGCCGTACGGTTTATACTTTGTCGTACGGTTTATACTTTGCCGCACATCAGGGTTCCAACGAAACAACACAAAACAGCGTGGTTCTATTATGCACGTAATCCGTGTACGCTTGGAAATAGGTTGGCAACATTTAAAGATAATAATACTATGAACAGCTGATTGACTATTATAACTACGATTTAACCTGTCATTTCGTGTTTATAGTTTCGGTATTTCTGAACTTTCTGGACTTTTCTTTTAAACGTTTTTAAAACATTCCTACGATCTTAATAAACAAGAAATAGTTATTTGTGTAACTAGTGGTGAAAGTGGCACTTTGCTGCACACGAGAGCAATGTTTACGCACTCGCCTGCGGCTCGTGCGGAATGATCTCGAGTGCAGCAAAGGCCTTTTTCACTCGTGTTACACATTATATTTTTCCTACAGTCACTATAAAGCATATAAATAATTAGTCTTTCAAACACTATACAACACGTTTTTAGGTTCAGCTGGCGACACAAATGGTGCCCTAGAGAAAGTAGTACCCGCGGTCCGTATCACTCCGCTATTTTTCCTCGGCAAGAAATGTGCTCCGCATTTTGAGAATATAGTTCCGTATGTTTTTCTAATTTGAAGTGGTTTCCGCACCTAAAAAAATGCTTTAAAGGTATTTTCTTGTTTATTAAGATCGTAGGAATGTTTTAAAAACGTTTAAAAGAAAAGTCCAGAAAGTTCAGAAATACCGAAACTATAAACACGAAATGACAGGTTAAATCGTAGTTATAATAGTCAATCAGCTGCTCATAGTATTTTTATCTTTAAGTGTTGCCAACCTATTTCCAAGCGTACACGGATTACGTGCATAATAAAACCACGCTGTTTTGTGTTGTTTCGTTGGAATCCTGATGTGCGGCAAAGTATAAACCGTACGGCAAAGTATAAACCGTACGGCAAAGTATAAATATGCAGCAATTAGCAGCTTTCTGTACTATAAACAGTACAAGGAAGCCAACTTTGTCGGGTGACTGTAGGAAAATATATTTAAAGCATTTTTTTTAGGCGCGGAAACCACTTCAAATTACAAAAACATACGGAACTATATTCTCAAAACGCGGAGCACATTTCTTGCCGAGGAAAAATAGCGGAGTGATACGGACCGGGGGTACTACTTCTCTAGGGCACCATTTGTGTTGCCAGCTGAACCTAAAAACGTGTTGTATAGTGTTTGAAAGACTAATTATTTATATGCTTTATAGTGACTGTGGGAAAAATATGTGTAACACGAGTGAAAAAAGCCTTTGCTGCACACGAGATCAATGTTTACGCACGAGCCGCAGGCGAGCTACAAGGCTCGTGCGTAAACATTGATCTTGTGTGCAGCAAAGTGCCACTTTCACAACTAGTTACACAAATAACTATATTCTTACGATGCACAAAAATATAAATTGAATAGCGTCATTACAACTAAACAGAAATAAGCAGAAATTCATAAAATCATACATTTAAAAAATGGCTGAAGCTTAGATTCAATTTTATTTAGGTCACCAATGTTTCTTACAGTGGCAGGCAAATTGTCTACAATTAGTTTTCCTGTACTAGCTGTTTTTGTTCACATATTGATAGCAAGCAATGTCATTTGTGTGCCAAGTTAAATATTTGCGACTATCACTATTACTCAAGTCTAGGAACTAACCAAATTAGCATACATTTTTTTACATGTCAAACAGTTACATTTGCAGTGTCGAAAGGTAAAAGAGTACTAGAAATTTTACAGACCAACAATATTACTTATGGGACAAAAATATGGAAGGTACAGGAAATTGAATGGTTCAGAATAAAAGCTGAATAAATTCGATTGTTAAGAGTCCTTGGAGACTAATGGCTTGGATAGTTTCAAACAGCTGCTAAAGAGTTATTTTTATTTATCGTCAAAAAATATTTTTTCAAACACCAAAGTGATTATAATTAAAATATCTAGGATACTGTGGGATTAGAAATGTTCTTTGTAGTTTTGAATTGCTTTCCAAGGGAGGCGATGGAAGCTAACAGCCATCTTGGATTTGCCTGCCATAAGAGCAATGTTAATTTTGTTAATTTCAAACAGCCACTGAAGAGTTATTTAGCGTCACAAAATATTTTTTCAAACAACTGATTGCAATTTAAATATCCAGTATACTGTGAGATTATAAATTTTCTTTGTAGTTTTAAATTGTTTTACGAGTTAGCACGTCTAGGCTCCAAGGATTCTTAAGGGCTAATCAACGTAAAACATAGAGAAATGGACGTAGGAACGATTAAGGCTAGTTGAAGAGAGAGTAGCTTGATTGGTGGCGGACTGGTGGGTACTTACGCTGGTGTATGTTGTTGAGGTAGACGATGTGAGGCATGTCGTTGATGACACAGATACTTAGAGAGCCTGTGGTGTTGAGAGGTCGCGCTCTCTTCAGGTTGATGGTCTGTAGCCACTCACCACTGGCTGCGTTGAACACATCTATGTGTGTCTCGGTGTAGACTAGCAGCTGTCCGTCACAGTAACCTAGTACAGTAACACGCCATTGGCCATCAACAGTTTGTCATTACACCTACAATATATGCGACCCCAGTTTTTGAGGCGTCATGATTTTACAGGTTATATATAAAGTTGCAGTTCTGTTTATAAGGTAAAACATCAAATAACTTTGTTAAAACTGAAATTTTTATTTCCAGAAATAAAACAGAAAAAAAACTAATTTTAAGTTAAAAAGAATGTCAAAGTCAAAGGACTGGGTAGTTGGATTGTAGATTACTGTGTTTGTGTAAGCCAATTAGCAAAATCAGGCACGAACAGTTTATTAAATCCCTATGTATTTTTAGAAAAATGTCTATTGGTCAGTCAACAAAATAATGAAAGATTTACTCCCTACACTATCAATAACTGACCGACAAATAAAAATTATTCAAATTGGTTAAATTTTAGCTGAACACAATCAATGACTATGACACAGACCAAAGAGAGTAGAAGACAACCCATGTCTATGACAAAATTGTAGCCAGTCTTAGAATAAAAATGCTCATTTGAATTGAACCACAAACATAGTGTGTTGCTGCCTAGACTAACTTAACCAATCTTAATATCTTTTATGTCACACATAAGATCAATGTATTGATAGCTAAAAAAGAAAACATTATTTTGACACAAACTTTGTGAGCGGTTATCATATTTTACGCTTTCCGAAGCGTTGTGTTCAAGTTTATCGAGCACTAGGGGAATCTTGGGCAACCCTTCTTGCCTGTAGAGGGGGTGGGAAGGGGGATGCAAATGGCGTTCTTCCCGGGGGGTTGTACCTCTGCTGCTGTTTCTGGTAACTTATTGTTAACATTAACTTGTGTTTTATGTAGGTTGTTATAGCTTGTTAGGAGACAATACCATGTTCAACTATGTTCACCTATGGGCAAAGTTGTGACGTGGGGCCCATATCCCACTTAAGTCGAGGGGTATGCTTGGGCAGACTGCTGAGACAGCATCCTCGAGCCTTGGTGCTTGGACGACGACAGAGGCAGTGAGCTGCGAGACACGGGACCGAGAGGGTCAGAGACGCGTCGTCATGCGGTCGGTGTTAGGGGTCGGTCGGAGCCTTGGTATTAGATCAGAGAATAGTATTTTTGGTTTTGTTAGTGTTAAGATAGGGAAGTTCGTTTTGTTTTTTTAAATAAATAGTTCGTTGGTCTGTTATATTGTTGTGTGCTGTTTTAAACACCTCTCAACTAAGCGAAACCCCCCCGCACCCTTAAGGAGAGGAGTGACGTGACAAAGTGTCTTTATGTCAAACGGGATACTCACTGACAGCAGTAGGCACGGCGGGATACATGAGCTCAGTGTCGCGAGACTTGCGTCCCTGGCTGTCCACGTAGACACCCAGAGACTGGAAGACTAGAAGGAACTCTCCACGTGGTAACTCTACAGCTCGCATGGCGTCCACAGCACTGTACGACAGGAACCCCATCAGCTGGTTGTCCGGGTGTATCAGGGCTGCAAACATAACAACCACATAAAATATTGCCAAACCATTGTTGACTGCTAGAACCAGGCTAAGCTATGAGTTTGGTTTAACAGTCACTGGACTGTACAACTGTATAATCAAAAGATAAATAATGAATCAGTCATTGTTTATAAGTTTGTTCTGAGGCTTTTTCTTGAACAGCTTTAAAAATCAATCATACTAGAGTAGTCATGTTGCACCAGCTAATCCAAACAGTATAGTTTATCCAAACAGTAGAGTGTTGAAAATCCGAGCGTCAAAAATCTGAACCACTGAGGATTTTAAAATATTTAATTACACTGAGACAACATATGTTTTACAATTTCACGGACAAAACAGTTGGCTTGTCGGTAATTTACCAAAAATACCTAAGTTCAAAAAGCATTGTTTTTGTTTTATTTACTGTATCCTAGAACTGTATTTTTTAATACTGTAGTCCTAATTATGTGTTTCTTAGACATTTCTAGGTTACGGTATGTTTGAAATCCGAACAAATCGGTGATCTGAACTACCAACAGTCCCGATTGGTTTGGGCTTTAGACGCTCTAGTGTATTTTAGAACTAAACTTACACTTACACAGAGGGTGGTGATCTCCCATGATGCTGTACACACTAAAGCCCGACTGGTAGCCTACACACAGCCTGCCCTCACTGAAGATGTGTAATGACTGGGCCTGAGTGGGCAACATCACCTCTCTCACTCTCTTGTGGCGAAGCTTGGTCCTCGTTATCTCATAGATGATCACCTGCGATGTATTCTGTAACACGTGCACACAGAGTGATGACATGCGCTATGCTTCCATACAGAGAGAATACAAAGGCGATTGGAAGAATATTTCTGAAGACATTAGTAGCTTGGTAAACAAATAGCTTGTTTGGAGACAATACTAAGTTAAACATTTGTTATCTATTCTTAACTGTAGACATTGTTCAACCAGAACATTTGGGACTTTAACAGGGTTGAATTACTGAAGATTCCAGATAACTGAAGGCAATCTTAAAGTGTTTGGGAGACTAGTAGTGATAATGTTAAAAATACAGTCAAAACGGCTGTTAATTAAGTTACCATGCAATTTTTGGATCCAAATTGTTATTTTTTGTTCACCTTGCAAACAAACTTCACAAATGAGTCTTAAGCTTTTTCAGTGTAAAAACCCTCAGGCTGATGAGACCAAACTATTTAGGATTTTGCTGGAAACTTTGTCTAGTCAGCCTTGCTAGGGGTTCCAAAATTTCCATTTGAATTATTATATCATAAAGAACTTTTGCTATCCTTCCATGAATATGGGGTTTTTCAAGAAACAAACTATTGTAGCTATTGACCTGTCGCTTGATGGCCACACACAGACAGTAGGCCAGCTGAGGCGTCCTAGTCATGACTCCTGTAGTGAATGTGATACATCCCTTAGTCTCAGCCACCTTGATCCACTCCACCTCGTCACCATCCAACGCTCTCACTGGTATCAGCCTCAGGTGACGTTGTTGCCTACAACATAAAACCGGCTCAGTAACAAAAACTATCAAACCAAAAATCAAATAACCCTTTAAAGTTTAGCACTACCCATGTTAGTGATATTATAGTTGAGTTCCCTATACTCGGCACATGATAACCCAACAGTCCGGATTGGCGAACCTGTAAAGAAGTTTTATGCCAAGTCCACGTAATAAAAGGTATTAATTACGACCTGGTGGCAAACTACAGAACTAGGTTCCGATAATAGTTAACCTAGAAAATTACCATCATCTTAGCGCTACTTACAGATACTGAGATCAGGATTAGTCACGCATATCTTACAAACAGCCAGTCAGCACCATAACCTTATATTTTAAGAATTTTTTTACGTACAGTAATATAATTTCATGGTGTTGTAAATGTAGTTCATGTACACAAGAAATAAAAAGAAGATCTCGCTTTTATTTACGGTCCTTTTCTTATAACCAGGCATGTTTCAAACTAAGCCTATTTTTGGTCTACACCACCTCGAGTTTGTGAGACTCTACAGTATAAAACTATTGTCTGGGTAGCCGAGTGGATATAGTGCCCGTCTTCAAATCTGAAAGTCGCTGGTTCTAATCCAAGCGAGATCGTTTCCAGATCCAGATGCCATTTGTCATTGGGCTATGAACTAATGATGCTATCTAACTAAAACAGGGTTGCCACCAAAGTGAGATAAAAAAATTCATGCATAATTCAAGGTTTTCATTGGTAGTTTTGAAAAATTCATGGGGTATATGCTCGCACAATTTCACCATAAAAGAGTGTTGCCTAGTTCAGAATTGTACATTAATTTATCGACAATATATAGTTTTGTGTGCTACTATCAAATAAAACACATTTCATGTGTTTATTTTAGAGTTAAAAATAAGAATTTAATATAATTTATCCAGTCTAAAAAAGTAAAATCACAGATGAAAAAGGATTAATAAAAATCTTGTGTGTGATAATAAGATGTAATTATTAAAAAAAAATTGAAACATCTGATTTAACAACATCATAGCCTAATGATAAATTCAAACGTTAGAAGAAATAATAAATAAAAAAATAAGTCGGATTGGTAGTTAGGTCTAGGCCTAACCTAAAAAACATTGCATCCAAACATAAAAGGTTTGGCCTAGAACTTTACTGTCTAAACATCAAATTAAGATAATAGGCTACTATAAAAACAAATGTTAAGAACATGATCAAGAAACGGTTAACTTGGTAATGAATGGGCCATATCTAGGCCTACTAAAACGCACATGCAATTTATTACTTTATACTGTAACACAGTAGGCTAGCCTACATTGTAATCCAAAACTGAATCTTGGCTAAGTTAGGCCTGAACCAACTTTTATTTATTGAGAAGATTAAAGGTTACCGACTGACTGATAAAAACACTCTAAAAAGGTAAGATTATGTAAATAAATATTTAGTTAAAGCTAAGAACGAAACAAAAGTAATGGAATGTATGTAAGTTTAGACATAGGCTAACTTACATTAAGCAATAAAAAAAAATATTACATTACAGAAATGGTTAAAATAAACTTAGTTAGGAGGATGTTTCTTCAGATTGGATCAGTTTATATATTATTATTTGCCTACACAGGTTTAAATCACAGTTAAAACAATTATTTAATTAAATTTACATCTCATTAAAAACTTAGTTAGATTCGTATTGACTGAAAACACCTAGTTATATGCTTCAACAAAGCATTTACATTTACCTTCCTCAGAACGAAATCACCATTTTTCAGCACAACATTGACTTCTTGCAACTTAGGCCTAAATAAATAAACTTAATCTCACGTTGTAACACATTTACTCAACACTGACAGTAGTTTGAAATGACGACATATTTGACCAAAACAAACACAGAAGACGATTAAGTTCCAGCCGGCGCAAGCCATTTTGACCTTTATGGCAAGGCAAGGTACTTCTTATTTTAACGTTGTAAAGTATCGGAAGTATAATATATCAGTAATAAAAAATATTTAATCTGAACACTTGTTCCACTGAGTGTTGGGTAATCAATTATAAGAAGCACAAAACTGAATCACGAGTGCAACAAGTGATCTTACTGTCCAGTGTCCACCACTACTTCAAACGTTTGACTCGTTTCTAAGTTTCAGATCAGTTTAAAACTTTTAGGTTATGGTTACTCTGTATTTCCTTCCACACGAACACTAGAGTAGAGAGAGTAGAGAATGAGAGCGAGCATCAATTCCGATTGTCGATGTTTTCGAAACATCGATGTCTTTTCTATCGATGTTCGAAGTTATTTGTTTACATCGATGGTAGATTACCGAACCGATGATTTGGTTTGTTACATCGGTCTTTTAGGCCAACAAAAGTAATGAAATATGAAATATTGATGTTTTCCGTAACTGAATTGTATTGGTTTTAGGTTAATTGGCTGTTACAGTGCAGAGAACAGACAACAGACGAGAAACTCGGAACAAACATCGATGTGATCGATGTTTTAGCTCCGAAAGCATCGATTTTATCGGTAGATCGGTACTCGCACAGACAATAACTCGGTGGTAGAGATGGGCGTTATAACATAACAGGAATAACAGGATGAATAACAGTGTTGCGGCCACGGCAACGTTATCGCGGCAACACGTTGAAGAGAACTCCCTGTTATTATAATAACGTATCTATCTACACAATGTTGCAGGAAAGCCGCGCGACAACGAAAACGAAAACATGCATTGCCATTAGTGCCGTTGCCGCAACGCTACCAGAGCAACGATAACTTCTGAAACGAACTAGAATAACGCATCCTGTCTGGACAACGCGGCAACGCCCGACTCCCGAGTCCCGACTACAACTGAAAACTGAACTGATCAACCGACAATGATAACTGAACGCCGCAACAGCAACACCGACCGGCGGACAACGGTTTATAGCGGCAACGAGTTGGCAATCGTTATTGAAATAACAGGTTGCCGCATTACGTTATTGGGCAGCTGCGTTATCGTTATAACCGTTGCCGGAAAACAACGATAATTCCCATCTCTAGACTACTCGGCTGACGTCGGTTGCGATCGGATTTGACCTTGAATAAACTACGCAATCGTTTCTGTTCGTGCCATGGCAACAAAACTTTTTATCTCGACACTCCCACTTTGACGTTTTATCTCGGTGTTCATTTCGAGAATGGTTTTAATACGGAGTATTTGATTCAGCACATTTAGGGGTTTTGGCTGAATTGTTAATAATGATTTTGAGAATTCATGGTCCAATGACGAAATTCACGCATAATTCACGCACTTTTTCATGGTCACCTAAATTCACGCATAATTCACGCTTTTCAAGGTTTTCATGGCTGGTGGCAACCCTGTAAAAGGTCGACGATAGATAGTAACAAGACCAGGGTTTGGACCGTTCCCTTTCAAAAGTAAAAAATGCCACTGGCGTAAATACACACAAAATAAAAATCTGCTATTGAGTATCTCACCTGATAATAAAACCAAGACTTGCTCTTCTACAACGTATTCAAGCTGGAAGATCTTCTTTCCCTCTCCAACACGAGCGATCTCTGTAACAACAGAAAACAAAATGAGTAATGATAACAAAACATTGAAATAGCTTCTTATTGATAAATTCCACTAAAAATTACAAGTTTGACAATAGTACAGTGGTTATGAACCTTTTTTAAAGTGCTTAACTCTTGCCAAGTACAAACTGTACTCCACCCACAGTCTATGTATGGCAAGGAGGTGAGTAAAAATGGGTGTAGGGGAATGGATTAACCCCTAGATCAGGGGGGGGGGGGTTATGGGATCCATTAACTTTTAAACACATTTCTAGGCTATCTGAAGGAATCTAAGATTTTTTTCTTATCTGTTCATCTATTTAGTTTGCTAACAGGTAAGAAAAAATCGTAGATTCCATCAGATACTGAACAAGAAAGGTACTCACCAGAGCGATCCAAATCCAAGCAGAACAATCCTTCCTCAGTGCCCAATACAAGGCGGTCTGGGTCTATGATGGCCCCTGACATGGCGTTCTTGATAAAGGCCAACGTGTTGTCCAACAACTCCTTAGCTCTAAACACCTGCAGCACATAAAGTAAGGTTGAAAATAAATATGTCTATTGAGTAAATCAACTGAACCGTCGCAACTGTAAGCATTAAACTGTAGTTGTACAAGAAATTCCCTATGTTTTGTAGCTACTTACCAATTAGAGTAAGAAGTTAGGTGTAGAATCTTGTCGTATCCCGTACCGCTAGAGTATTATCTTTGTTTTTACCATCATAAATGTCCAAATTTAAATGTGTGAATGTACTGTCATATTTATTATCATTTAACGACCTTCATATGAAGCAACTAGACATTTTGACTGGCTGAGGATGACTCCCCCTGTATGGTTGCCATACAGCAACGCTTTAATCGCATAAATGCAGGTGTTTTACACCAATTCATGGTATTTAAAAGCGATCAGGAGGCTAAAATTCAAAATAATTTGCTAAAAGTACTGAAACAAAACACAAAGACGGTCTATGATCTTCAAGATTTGACTGAGAAGCGATTTTCCTCTCGTCCAGTGGCATTTCGCTCCGCTTCCAGGAAAACAGTACCATTATATCAACTCAAACAAGAGAAAAGCTCTGCTGTCCGCGCCCCGGCCTAGGAAAACCCAGTTTTACACAAGAGTGAAACGGTTGGTAGGCAACACATTTAAAGTAAGACTTATCAGCTAGCGTATTTGGGAAACACTAAGTTAAGAGATTCATAGATATTCAATAACCATTATGTGAGTTTAAGCTAGACTCCAAATGTTACCAGCTAAGCTAAGTGGTACAGCAGCGTGACACTGACCGTAGTGTTGGGAAGGTTGTTTCTCTTCAGTATCCTGTGCAGCTCACTCAGTGCCACCACCCACTTGCTCTTTTCACTCTCAGTGTCAGCCAACATCAGTGTGTGGTTCTTGAGACCTGGAGGGTCCATCAGTGACGTTGTTATCTGTAAAAAGCAGAGGAAAATCATAAATTTAAAGCATGTTGTGGCCTATTTGAAAATAAAATTGCTATTGAAAAAGTCAATGTAGCCCAGCTAAAATATAACATACATTTGAAATATTACAAACCATACGTTTAGCTAGACTATCAACTCTAAACATCAGACTAAAGAAGGTAAAGTCTTCGTAAACTATAACTACTAAAAATAAAGTTACAAGATAGATAAACTACAATTTCCTTGTAAATAGCTAATTATTCTACAATGTAACAAAATACCAGATTTTTATGAATATTTTTATAAGATTACGGGCTTTTGAAGGCAGAAATTCAGTAACTACATCTTAACCCTTACTTATGCCTTATTTACCATTTGAAACCACTGAGCACTTCAACCTTCCACGCAGTAACATTATTTAAACCCCTACTCACCCTGAATATACAGGGGATGTCCTTCTTGGTGGCATGTATGACATCACTGTCACGCACACTAGACACAGCAAACTCCTCGTCTCTCATGTCCAACACCTGACTGACGTACACTGAAGGCAATGCGTTGCGGTCAGGCGAGATGTCGTACAAAAACAGCTTGAAGTCACAGACCACCACAAACTGCCTCACCCAGCCTTTCTTCACTCCGCCAGTCTTGGGTACCTTGACATAGCCCTCGTACGCTGTGCCGATGCCTCGCGTAGGGTCAATGCCAAGCGGCCTCTTAGCTGTAAAAAAAGTATTAGGTGTGAAACATTGAAATGAATTCAATTCGAGTTTTGATGATTTTAAAACCATTAATTAAAAACATAGTATTGATACATATTAGATTCATGCCATTTTATTACTTCCTTCTACAAAAGCTCCTTGTAGAGGTAAAATATAAAATTGTCTACTTGTCTATCCATTCCTTCTTCCTATATGTATCCCAAGTTCAATTCCTTAACAAACAAATGTATTTTATTATATTCATCACCGAAAAAGTTCAGAACTTCTAGTAATGTGTATGAATCAACTTAAATTGACATGATTATCGTTGTCGAGTAGTGGGCATAACAAGACATTAAAACCTTTGCTTGAAACATCATTCTATTTCAATACCAAAAAAGATTAATCTACACTGCATGCACTATGAAAAGCCTTTTTTATTCGGTCATATTAAAATACAATAGCTTATCTCTCTCTCTCTCTCAGATTTGTTTTATTCCAATTTCAAATGTCCACCTGCATAAAAATGACTCACAGACTCCATGCAAAGGACCAATCATTTATTAGTGGCTATTTACTTCATAAATTCTCATTTTAAGTTAATTTGGGTGTGATTTATATTATTTAGGGTACTAATGAGGACATTCCCATCAGGGTTAGTGAAAAACAAATCTTCACAACGTTCTGATCTGGAATCTTTTGGTCTTCAGCTGAGAAAGAACAATTGTTAGGCCTACTCACAAAAGTATACTATGTTGCATAAATTCAACAATGTTTAAGGTACTAAGGGCAGAAAAAATTCCAGATACTGCATCGTTAGAACTTATTTCCCTCATTTATGTTTCCCCTCAAATAATATTACGAAAATAAAGATATGAATTTACAATGATCATACTTTGGTCGGGAGGCACGGGGCAGACTGGTGGTACTTTATCACAGCAGGCCATGTGACAGGCGAAGCCGCACACTTCACACACCACTCCTTGTCTAGTCAGTCCCACCATGAGAGAGGTGCAGTGGTTACACTTGGTGGGAGAGGAGAACGTCCTTACCAGGAACTGATGATGTTTGGGCTTGGGAGGCAGATGACTGTGACTGTGGTGATGGTGGTGATGATGGCCGTGGTGGTCCTGAAACATATTGTCATCATTGGTAAATCCATCATCATCATGTAAGATGATCCATGTTATAGCAGCAATCAGGTCAGGTGATAGTCATAGTCATAGTCATAGTCATAGAAAATCTGCTGGTTTCGAACTGGTCATTGTCAGCAAAATTTGCAAATGTTGCCGATAACAATGGAGAATGTAGCGATGATAACACAAACATTGGCAATAGTAGTAATTTGACTGTGGACGTTGGCGAAGTTAGTGATGTCTCCGTGAACGAAAGATAAGCTTTCAATATACTGAAATGTTTGTCATCGTTTCCTGTGAGGACAGCATGTTCTCTTCTCTCGCATACGCAGCAACATCGTCATCATCTCTCGTAATGACAGCCGTATCGCCAACATCTTTCAAAATTGTAATTACACAAATGGTCGGAATAGCGGGACTGTACATCATTAAATCAGTTAACCCTCTATCTGGCGCTGGTCGATTTTCGACCACTAAAACGTGAGTTCTCAGTGGCGCTGGTCGATTATAGACCAAGATGACATGGGTCGGGTTTTTCTATTATTAAAATATGAAAACAGTTTTAAAACGCAATAAATCTTATACCTTTAGAAAGATGAGATTCTGAGGATTCATTTTCATGCATAAAACATTATTGAGTGAGTATTATGTAGCGAGAAACGGTAGTTTGAAAAAGTAGAGAGTTCAAAATAGATTTTGGCGGTGGAAAGTTTTGGTCACCTGACTACAACAACAGCTGTTTTTGGTGATTGTCAATTAAATTGTATGCAATATTAATCTAAACACACTCACATAAAAATACCTCAATACAATATATTATTGTAGAATATTAGTACATATTCTGAAACTACAATAAATTCCCTACAAGTCCCTGTGAATCTATAAGGTTGATTGTAAAAATTTTATTTGTTTTAAAAAATGTCATAAATATTATTTTTTTGTAAAAAAATCTTCAAAATTTTACATTCCGACGTAAATTTCTCCGACATTTTAGATTTCAACTAAATATAACTATATATTTTCAGAAAGATCTTTTTATTACCTATTGTACAGTATCATTTCATTTTTTGTTGATGCATTCTATTATTTCCTACGTGACAAAAAAAAATTTGCTAGTTTTTCAAAAAAGAAAACATGTATGAAGAATTTATTTTTTTATAATTTTATTTTTATGAGTATTTAAAAAACATTGATATTTCTACGTAGGGAATCATATTTCACACAAACTTTACATTTAGATAAAATGTGTAAAAAAATTATTTTGTGGTTTTCTTGTGGGTTGCTTTTGAAATTTCTAATTTGCATAATCCAAAAATTTGCAAACCTTTTGCTACTACGCCTAAACGCATTGCTAGGAAAAGAATATTTTTATATTATTATATTATAAATTCATCACTGAAATAGAAAATATATATATGTGTGTACTTATATTCACAAATAAATGTTCTGTGGCAAAATATATGATACCACTACAAAAGCGCCAAAATATACCCGCCACTGGTGAATAAAATGACCGCCAGATCTAGGGTTAATACAACCAATGGTACGACAATATATTTTAAAAACAAAACATAATTTTTTCCCTAATATTATAAACCACAGCATGGGTAAGCAAACACCTTAAAATAATTAGTTATTTGAGAGTTCGACAGTGTGATCCTGAGCGTTGATTGCATTTATGGTTAAAAACTGGACCCAGCTATCCTTGATCTATAGGGTTTTTATATATGGTTCTGGCTGAAGAAACAACTGATCTCTGAACCATAATCGTATTAACCTCGTGGCTGGTTAACCGGGAAATGTTCCAGGAAAAAAGTAGTTTAATTAAATGAAGAAAGAGATAGTCCTAGATTCCAACACATGTCAATGTTTTTGTATCAAACTGTAGGTCAATGTTTTTGAGAGTGTAGGGTCTTTTCTTGAAAGGAAGCGTGGTAGGGCATAAACAATCTGTGTTTCACTCAAGGTCATAGACCCCTTCCCTCTTACACCTCCTAATATTTTACTCTATTTGATCTTACATACTGTACATATTCCTTGAATTTACCCCTGTTATAAATTGTGATTTCTCTAATACAGGGTTCAGGTATTTTTTTAATAATGCAATATAATTATGTTAATTTGCACAGTTTAGTACTGGTCTGTATTTTAAAAATTCTTTCCTATTAAATGAATAACATGTTGCGGAATAACGTAGATTTTACGTATTAGGGAAGCCTCCACCCTATTTATCCGGGAGTTAAGTATAGTGAATTTAGATAAGCAAAATAATTTTGGTAACCCAACATTTATAGCCTATACACATATTAGGAGGTGACTCCATACTGTATGTTTAGCCTAACTTTCACTTGGCTAATATATGTAAAAAAAAAAAAAAAATACAATTTATTCCTATAACCCGTTTTACCTTATAACCTGTAGTGGTACATTCAAAACATGAAAACCAATTTAAGGTAATATGTGAATAAAGATTCTTAACGTTTCTTAATTATTGCAACATACCATGAATGGTGAGAATATATCCAACAGCTTAGATTTTCTCTGTAGTACATATTTATCACTAGAGAGAAGAGTACTAGTGTTATCAGAGGGAGATAAACAGGTTAACAAACAAAAGCTCCTCCATGAGTCAGTGTGGTTGCTGAGAACATAGCTTCAACTCTGATCATGTAATAATGGGTGAGTCTTTACTCTCTACACAACATACATTAGCAAGCCACATTTGATATAACATTCATCACAACTAAGATAAGTAAAAAAAAAAAAAATTGTAACAACATAAATAATTTATGTAAATTTAACGATTTAAATAAACACTGAAAATAGCTTGTGCATACTATCAGACCTCAAATATTACATAGTCTACATATTAAATTTTTAACGTCAAATGTAGAGAACTATTTTAGGTAAAAAAAACAAAAGAACTAAAAATCCAATTTAAAACTTTGTTGGTTGGGAAAGATTTTATTTTAGTGAGAATTTTGTCGTGAAGACCCCATGTAATGCTTTTTAGGAACCATGAAATGATTGAGCAAATTCAAGTTGTGTGCGTTATAAGGATGGGTGACCTAGAGTTTATAAAATATTTTACTATTTAAATTTAAATGAACATATTAAATTTTCTCATTTATGACTAGTTCGTTAATCAACAAAAATATCATCTGCTTTTTCCCACTTATTTTATAACCATTGTGAAAAATTTATATTAATTTTGAATAGCTATATGTGTAACGAACTTGATTGATTTAAAACGCTGTGCGATTTTTAGCTTGTTTGGAAAAATATTAATAATTTAATTTTAAATAATGTTTTTTTTAAATATTGTAAATCAAACATCATATTTGTGACAGATGCAAGATTACTCAAATGGATGATGGAACAATTCTAATGAAGTGATCACGATTAGATAAAGGGATAAATTAATATAAAATATATAACCTTCCATAACAAGTCATTTAAAACTTGCTCTCTTGAAACGATATATTTTAAAACAGTGAATTACTATACAATTACACAACACAATTACCCATGATGAACAAAAACACAATTAACAAAAACTATGACATAACTGTGTACAACCACAAGTTACATTAAACCAATGAAGTGAATGTTGATCCCAAAATCAAATCAACAAAATTTAATTCTTTCTAATTTAATTCTGTTATTTACATTGTTAACACCAGAATCACAGCAACATTGTATTCATCACCCGAACACATAAAAGAAACCCCTTTATCAACTCCTGCCACACTGTGATCGTCTCCTGCAACCGCAGCAATACATCTTTTGCAGTCTCGCCAACACCAAAGTCATCTCAAGACGATTGTCATTTCCTCGCTACAGGTGACCAAGTTAAAGGAGAACCAATGAGATACCACCAATGAATACGCACGAAAATAGGATATTGGAGGTTGTTACAAAGTCTCCAATCCCATACAAATCACGTACAACTAACAAAAAGGTAAGTTTTCCTGGCTGGACACCTCGTTTGCATCAATCAAAACCCACATATTATTTTAACGTCTCACGCTATAACAAACCCAACTCACCATGCTCATCTCTGACAGGTTACTCTTGCTACTTGCTATCGAGGGAGCTCGGTTATCCTCAATGTCTCCCTCCTCACTCTCCACCGAGCCACCGTGTCGCGCCGACGTCTCTTTGAGGAAGTGGTCGAGGTACGACATCTGGGACGAGGGTCGCTCCAGAACTGCAAGCGACACAACACAGTAAGCACCCAAGCTACACGAGACATGCACTCTTCACCAACACAAACAGATAACATAGATACACTAATGTTATGTAAACATACCTTTCCCATGTTAATGTTTAATCTAGTTAAAAAAAGAAGTTGAATTGAGGCAACAGAGTATGCTTATGCTTATTGCTTATGCTACCATTTGATTTCTTATACACACAATATTCAAAAATACAAAACTGAATGAGCAGCTTGTTGTAAACTTCAGTAAATAAACAATAAGTTGACGAGAGACAGCAATAAAAACCAACATGAAATATTTGTTTGCATCCACAGAGCATAGAATAAATATTGAGGCGGCACTTGCCGTCTGGAGTGAGGCAGGCTTCTCGTACCAAGATGGCGGCCGGCCCAGTCTGCATTTACATTTAAGCCATTATATTGTTACCACCAAAACCACCAATCAATATTTACTTTTAAAACTCTCACCTCAGAAATTTGAAAGCCCCGCGGGATAGAGTCCTAGGTCAATATCGAAGAGGGGATAGTTCTATGTAGCATAGAATAACACAGTGGTAATGACGCCATGTTCTCAAAGTTCTGAACCTGACTCTCTTACCAAGATGGCGGAAATCGGCTTCACTACTGGTATAGCTGTAGGTATAGGAGTGGCGACTCTATATTTATTCTATGCACTGTGTTCGCATCACGGTAGATGTGATAAGAATCAAGTAGTAAGTTGATATTTTCCCCAATTATAATTATGGTTAATAATATGAACGGATGGAATAAACAAGTACAATCCCAACCCTATAAATAAAAGTAAAAATAATATTGAATTAACACATATCATAAAAACATATGCACGTTATTTGTAAAAGAAAGTTTGATAGATCAATCAAAAATGCCAAAAAACCTGTAAAAATTATCTTAATTTCCAATATTTTTCAAAAAATGCAACTCATATCACCTGTTAAGACATACTCATGCTTATGGAGAAATGTAGTACCGAGTGTCCACAAAAGATAAAGTACAATTTCATACATTAGCCATACTGTAACTTTTCAACGTACAATGTTCTACCTGTGTTTGTTGCATCATGATAATGTTTAGTTTTACTTGTAATTTTTGTCAAGTTTTTTTTTTGCGTAGAGATATTGTGACCTAAAATATGAAATGTTTACTGGTAGATTTAATGGCCGGGGTTGGCATACCGGCTTCCTAGTTTTCCCAACATCACTTCATGTGACTTTTCCTTATTAGGTAAATAAAGGTCATTGTCTTCTTGTCAAAAACATCTCAGTTAATAAACGAAGAGAGGAAATCATGAATGCCTTTCTTCAGGAATCCAAAAAACACCATTTCCATTTAAATGCATGTGTAAAAATCTGTTTTTGCAAATTTTCCTATAGGGAGGTAGCTATTACCGTTGGTGGCACGGTAAGACCTAGGCCCGGAACTGATTTACATTTTCATTTTGATGTCCCCAAAGGCCAAAAACACTAACAGTTCAAAATGTTTTTATATATAGGTATATATATATATTATATAGATTTATATATGTGTCCGTGAACGCAATAACTTGTGTAATTTTTGTCCGATTTTGATAAAATTTGGTTTGAAGGTGTAGGTAGGATACACTTGAATGAGTTTATGAACCAACATGATCGGACAATGGGAACGGGGTTTTACGGGGCAAAAATTGGGTTTTCTCATTATTGACCCTCAAAACACAAAATTTCCCAATTTCTCTCCAGACCATTATAAAGAGCTTTTGCTTGTTTGTGGATATATTTTGATCAAACTTGGCAAGTTTATATATTCTATATAAATTTTACTAAAAACACACTTTATTAGCCTCCCTGTATCAGCAAACCTATTGTTATTTAAATAGATTTAATTAAAAATCAATTCACGCAAATGGAAATTCGCTTGGTCTGCAGATTTGCTTCGGCAGGCATATTTTAAGCTCTGGTCAACAGGAAGGAAAGCCATAGTAACAGTTTTAAGCAAATGCAGTTTTTTACAGGTAAAAACTGAACTATAATTTAAATAAAATTACCATGGGAACAATTTAAATCAGTTTAAATTTAAAACTTAAGACAAGAAGATGCACCCTACGTGAGTCTAGATTAACATTTTTTATGGTGATAATAGCTTCTAGGATTAGTTCAGTTGTAGCATTAGAGTACTTCATATTGTAAATTATTATATCCCAAGTTATAAAAGAATATTTAAATACTGACAAGTTCCACAAAAGAAGAATAAGACACTACTTCCCTGTGCTTAGACTTAAATGCTTAGGATTGCTCAAGCACTCAAGTTCCATATTGGTTCGGTAACCTTAACGTGGCAAGTGGGTGAGAGTCCGTTGGACTTTGTCACTCAAAACTGTTGTTGTACAGGTAGATGTTGCTGAACTATCAAAGGAGATACGAAAAGATTACCAGAGAAATACTCTTCACTTCAAGACTGAATCATATGAAAAGGATTATGACCATTATTTAGGCCCTCCTTTGAAGTTTCAATGGAAAAATCTTTAAAAAATTATATTATTGAACATGATAGATCTATATAAAAAAAAATTAAAACTAAACCTTACTAGTTCATGATATTCTTTACTTTTATTGCTACACAATTACAAATTTTTAAATACTAAGCAATGAAGTATCATGTACAGTTTCAAGTAGTTTGTTGTAGCCTGATTTATTTTTTATGATAGTTTTAAAACCAAATTCTTACATTTAAATTCATTATTTATTATCAACATTTTCTGATAGGCGGTTTTCTGATAAAACGTCACAACAAAACTTTGCGATTACGTGAGATGGATAATTATTTCAAGTGGCAGAGTACTCCTCAGTCACCCCATAATTTGGCCCGAATTCCAAATTTGTCAGGGTACCTTAGGAGGCTTTTAGACGATAAACAACTAATGATCGGGTAGGCAATGTATCAAGGACTGTGTCCTTTCTTCGGATTCCGCTTCAAAATCTGTGGTAGCCAGGTGCTGTTTATCAGTGGGGTGTTTGTTGTTGCATTGACTAGTGCCGGAATATCCTCGCTGGTGTGGCGCCCGGCTTGAGGAAGGCCCAATGTCGGCAAACATTCTCTGATAACACTGAATTCCGGAGTCTGAATGACTCAGTCCCTCAGATCGTAGAGGTTTCTGTATACAGAGGGCCACTGAGCGCTGCAGTGGTGGGTGTGTAGGCTGTCTTGGGTTCTGCCCAGATTGTCTGCATATCACTTCTACTGTTTGATCCCTTTAGGGTGCGGATGTAAAAACCTATGAAATACTCCCTCAAAACTCCCTGATACATTAGGCGTATTAGGCTCCCAATGTTTAGAGTAGGAACTGAAGATCTGCGGAAATCTCTACTAGTGCCCCTTGACTCCGACGTAAGGGTCGTGAAAGCATACAGGGATTCCCCCATGAACTTGGAAGACTGGATTGGAAGAAAGAAATACTGAACCTCTGAACAGCTCCCTTAACTCCGACTCCATGGTTGGTTTGTGATAGCATTTATGATTCCCTTAAAAAATTCAAGCAAAAGAGAAACAAAGAAGAACAACAGGTAAAAACGAAACGTCAAAAGTGAAAACAAGGTCCACCATGAAGACAAGTTTGAACACTCAAGGCAATACACTTGAAAATCACTGGATTGGAAATTAAGAGAGTCTACAAAGAACAACAGCTGTCTGAAGAAGACCCTGAAACCTTGGATCTAGACAAAAAGGTGATTTTCTCAATAAATAAATATTGAATATAGTAAGTTGTATAAAAGATAAGATAGTCACAATCTTTCATTTCATATTTGGATAGTCTGAAAAATATCTATCTCTCACCCACTGCCAAAATACCTTTACATCAGTAAAGGTTAAGTTTACCAGAACCAATCTAAAATCAATATATTTTGTTGCAAATTATGTACTAAATATTGTTTAGGTGTGTCGTAAGGTTATTAAATTACACAACTTTAACCTGTATTAGATTTAATGACGAAGTAGCCTGCTGTAGTTTAAGCATAGATAATAAACTAGATGTGTACAGAAATAATAGGTATGAAATACATGTCATAGAGACATATATGTTTAAAAACACGGTTCGTTAACCAAGTTTTTCAAGAGTTGTAAAATTAGTAAATGCTATAACTGGTAGAAAATTAAATTTAATCCCTTCATCTTACTGTTTCAGTACATATCCATTAGCATGATAACTCGAACAAAAATCATCCGATTTCGATGAAATTTAGTACAGTAGAACCTCGGTTAACCGAGCCTCGCTTAACCGAGACTCCGGGTTAACCGAGGCCGTCCTCGAACGATTTTTTTTATTTAAAAAGCAAAAGAAACACGCACAAACTACGTACAGTAATGAGCGTTTGGGTGCTCCTTTTATCGCAATACGCACGCTAGCCTGCAATGCGTTAAAACTACTGTACAGTAAAATGTTGGCAACTGTTGTGTTTCCTCGGCCAAATATTTGCGTAGCTTAGCGCTTATCTTTGCCGAATGCATACGGCACTGTCACCCGACACCGCTCGCCAGAGCAGCTGCAGGTCTTGTAACCCGACACCGCTCGCCGCCGGACCAATGCGAACTGTTTCAATGCCGAGACGCGACTGAGCCACTCGCTCTCCCCACCACCCCGATTCGACAAAAGTTTTTTTTACAGCGATGAATCTGATGGGGCGACTGAGAAAATGTCACATACAGAAGGTCTAAGAATGATCGAGGGAGCACTGGCATCACTGAGCTATAATTCTAACTGGAGATAGCACTGAATGTCAAAGATGCGTGTCGCCAGCCGCCATGTTTGCGTGAGGTGTGAGTTAAAATGAAGCCATGTTATTGGATGAAAAAACTCACTGCTATGCAAACCTAGTTATAGAAGCCATGTTATTGGATGAAAAAACCTGCTGCTATACCAACCTAACAAAATCAGCGACACGCTTTTGACAGACTTCTGCAATGGCAGTGCTACCTCCAGTTATAATTTTAGCTCAGTG